CTCGTATCCTTTCTCGAAGGCACCTTTCGCTCTATTGATACGAACGTGATCTCCGACCCGATATTTAATCTTTCGCACCCGTTTCTCTAACGTTTCGTTTTTCCAACGACGAGCTATATTTTCACGAGCGATACGTGCGTTTTCTCTTGTTACTACCTCAGGTTGCATTCTCGTGGACGAGTGACGCGTGTGATTGTAAGCGTGTACAATATCCTGCAGAACATCGATGTAGCGTCGCGTATTTTTATGCGTAAAATAACGCCACATTCGTTCCTTCAGTGTTCTGTTGAAGCGCTCGACGATGGCGGCTTTGACGTGTGGATTGCGCGTTACTCGAAAACGAATGTTGTTTTCTTTAAGAAATTTCTGCATTGATTGCGCGACAAATTCTTTACCCTTGTCCGTTTGCAGGTATACGGGTACTCGTCCTTCGCTTTTCGCTAGTACGCGTTGAAAAGCTTTTATCGCGCAGTTACTCGTTTCGTCGCGTAACGGTTCTACCCATACGTATTTACTTAGTACATCGATAATCACTAACAGATAGATAGGACAATAATCTTTTATTTCTCACCAGCGCAGAAGGTACGTTCAACGCACGGAGTAATCGCGCAAACTGATTTCTACCTACTGCTTTCACAGTTTCTCTCTCACGCATCGCGTCGTTTATCAAGTCAGTGATATTCGAGTCTTTCACGACGTTGCCATCTATAGTCACGATTCCATGCTCGTCCCAACTAATTTTATCAGGTATAGCATTTCGAATCAAATGTTTCATCAGTAAGTGTGCATGCTTACGATAAGATTTCGGTACGCTTTCCACTATTTCCTCAATGCTTTTCATCGCATGATTATTCTTCGCATGATTATGATCGCTCGAAATTTCAAAATTTTTCGTAATAATACCGGTATTACTGACGGAATGTGCTGACGGTATATCCGATGTTTGCGTGAGATCGTGAAAAACGTCATCGCTCGTCGTCTCGTTATCAGCGGAGCCATCTCGTGTAGCGTTGTCTTCTGTGTTTTCGCTGCGGACGTCTTTCTGCCTTCGCGTTTCTTGGATAAATCGTAGGTATCGCCATAATGCCTCTCTGTACATTTTCCATCTCTCACTTTCGTCACGTGGCCAGTCAGAATTAAGAATACGGCCCATCTCCGCATCGAGTCGTGTTAGATGAGTTCCGGGAGTTTGCACCGTGTTATTAGTGCTCACTGTGTTATCTGAATTTTGCGGTATTGCGATTTCCTTTGACTCTCCGTCAGCGAATGATGTCGGATTCTGACGTAACTGATGTTGCATTCTCTCGAGATTTTCCGTCGAAATTAAAACCATTTTTTTGGCCCTCTCCATAGCGTTTTATCCCCACTATTTCGTACTTTCGATAATTAGTGATAATAAGGTCGATAATATAGGTCCGATAATATAAGGTAAAAATCCGCCTCGCTGAACCAACAGCTTTCTTTTATCCTTCCAATTTCCACGTTTTGCAACGATGCGACGCAGAGGCGTTTTGTATTTGGTTAA